AAATGATGAGGATTTGCCCCCGGAATATTCGCTCCTAAGAAAACTCATCCGCGTAAAGATTCGCCACCGAAAATTCGCCTACAGAAGATTCGCCCTCGAAATTCTGCAATACAGTCCTTACGAAATCTGGGGTGAAATCGATGGTATTGACGTTACTTTTTCGAATTGTAAGAAATATGGTTTTTTCCGGGTCGATCTGAGACAATTTTTTCTTCGGGGCTCAAAAAAGGCAGTGATTAACCTTCCTTTTTTACCAAAAATCGACTGCACCAAAATTTCTCGAGAAAACACTTTTTCTTATTAATTTGGGTGCGTAGAATCCAAATCAATTTGTACTGTATCGATCAGACTTCTCAATCAAAAGTTATAGACTAGAAAAGTTCAAAGGGCTGTAACTTTTGAACTAGTAGCCCAATCTTGGAACTGTTTGAAATTATGGATTCTACAGGCCACATTCTATAAGAAATTTTTTTTCCGGGTCGATCTGAGACAATTTTTTCTTCGGGGCTCAAAAAAAGGCAGTGATTAATTAACCTTCCTTTTTTACCAAAAATCGACTGCACCAAAATTTCTTGAGAAAACACTTTTTCTTATTAATTTGGGTGCGTAGAATCCAAATCAATTTGTACTTTTTCGATCAGACTTCTCAATCAAAAGTTATAGACTAGAAAAAAATTCAAAGGGCTGTAACTTTTGAACTAGTAGCCCAATCTTGGAACTGTTTAAAATTATGGATTCTACAGGCCACATTCTATAAGAAAATTTATTTTCCGGGTGGATCTGAGACAATTTTTTCTTCGGGGCTCAAAAAAAGGCAGTGATTAACCTTCCTTTTTTACCAAAAATCGACTGCACCAGAATTTCTCAGGAAAACACTTTTTCTTATTAATTTGGGTGCGTAGAATCCAAATCAATTTGTACTATTTCGATCAGGCTTCTCAATAAAAAGTTATAGACTAGAAAAGAAACCAATTTCGAAAGAAAATTCAAAGGGCTGTAACTTTTGAACTAGTAGCCCTATCTTGGAACTGTTTGAAATTCCGGTCGACCTGAGACAATTTTTTCTGAGGGCCTCAAAAGAAGGCAGTGTATAACCTTCCTTTTTTTACCAAAAATCGACTGCACCATAATTTCTCGGGAAAACACTTTTTCTTATTAATTTGGGTGCGTAGAATACAAATGAATTTGTACTTTTTCGATCAGACTTCTCAATCAAAAGTTATAGACTAGAAAACAATTCAAAGGGCTGTAACTTTTGAACTAGTAGCACCAATCTTGGAACTGTTTGAAATTATGGATTCTACAGGTCACATTCTATAAGAAAATTTTTTTTCCGGGTCGACCTGAAACAATTTTGTCTTCGGGGCTCAAAAAAAGGCAGTGTATAACCTTCCTTTTTTTAACAAAAATCGACAGCACCAAAATTTCTCGAGAAAACACTTTTTCTTATTAATTTGGGTGCGTAGAATCCAAATCAATTTGTACTTTTTCGATCAGACTTCTCAATCAAAAGTTATAGACTAGAAAACAATTCAAAGGGCTGTAACTTTTGAACTAGTAGCACCAATCTTGGAACTGTTTGAAATTATGGATTCTACAGGCCACATTCTATAAGAAAATTTTTTTCCGGGTCGATCTGAGACAATTTTGTCTGTGGGGTTCAAAAAAAGGCAGTGATTAACCTTTCTTTTTTTACCAAAAATCGACTGCACCATAATTTCTCGGGAAAACACTTTTTCTTATTAATTTCTTTCCTTGAAGTCTCTGCTGTTAATAAATGATGAGGATTTGCCCCCGGAATATTCGCTCCTAAAGGCCGCTTGACATGGAGCAATACAACGCGCAAGAACTTGCAGAAAGAAATTGCAAGGTCAAATCCTTGCATGCAATAAGCATTGCATGATATTTGACATGGTGCAATTCTATTTCAATTGCCACATGTCTGCCAACAGAAGAAACATATGGATTTGTCAACAAAGTAGTTAACCTCAAATGAAAATTAAATTTTGATTGCTTGAAGAAACGTGAAAAATTACAAGAATAAATAAGATTAATAAAAACAAGTAATGAGTGCGTCTCTCAGCATCATAGTTGCCGCCGCTGTATTTTACTAGGTTGGTGACACAAAAACAACTAGATTTATCCCTAGAATTGCACGATTCATGCAAGAAGAATAGCACCGGTCCTATAAAAATTGCATGCAAGTCTCTTGCAGCAATTGATCAGCTGGCTTTGAACTGCGCATGCCTTTCGCAATTTTTCTTGCAACTTGCATGCAATTGCAATTTTTATTGCTCCATGTCAAGCGGGCTTAAGAAAACTCATCCGCGTAAAGATTCGCCACCGAAAATTCGCCTACAGAAGATTCGCCCTCGAAATTCTGCAATACAGTCCTTACGAAATCTGGCGTGAAATCGATGGTACTGACGTTACTTTTTCGAATTGTAAGAAATATGGTGAAGTTCCTGGCGAAAATACTACTGGCAAATGTGCTAGGAGCAAATATACCCCAGGGGCAAGTTTTCTGTTGCCCAAAAATGCAAACGGGCGTTTCCTTGGAGCTAGAATCTCCTGGAGCGAATATTCAAGAATCGACCTATGTGACACAGTGGCGTGGAAGCTCGAGCCCCGTACTAAGAATGCCTGTTTCGAATCAGGGTTCGGACATGGATATTTGCAAATGTGCAGTGGGTTGGGTAGGCTGAAATACGACCCACTTAAAAGTAAAAACCAAAATAAATAAACTTTCCGACGAACATACACGTTTTTTTTTCAAAAAATCATTTCGGTGTTTTAACTGTTCAAAATCATCAGGTCGGTTTATTGATGTTCAAAAAGCATTTGAATCTTAAACGTTCAAATCTTACTAGTTTACGTAAATGATTTGTACCATGAAAAGTTAAGGTTGTGTGGAAGGTTAGCAACATTTGCGAACGACACAGCATTATCCTACGGTGCTGCTGATTGGTCCGCTGTAATAGCTTTCATTCAAATAGCTACTTTTTGAGAAATTCCAAAATCTAGAAGTATTTCGTGTAAGAATTGAGTTTCCCCGTTGAATCCGATTCTGTCTGTTGCCAAGTCTGAAAATGGTTCAGAAAGGAGATGGTTTTTGGACCACCCTGGCATACTGGCTGTTTGAAATTCCCAATTTGTACAGGTTAAGGGTATGGACCCACATTTTTGGGGTCAAGGAACGCGATTTCTCATACTTCGGCCAAAATGGCGTCAAATATTTGAATTGTTCTAACTTTTTCCAGAATACACTTACGTTCAAGTTACTTATATGTTGGCATAGATTTTTTGAGTCGAGGAACACAATAGAGGGGTCAAAAAGTGAAATGGCGCCAAAATTACTCGTACTTGAGCGAATCCTATGTGTGAACGAGGTTCAGGAGTGCCATTTAAGGTACTAGGTACATGGTTCTGGCAACCACAGGCCCGAGTATTACGCATACCTTTACGTTTGTACTAAACCATACAGCCTATACCGGTAATGCATTTTTGCGTAAAATATAACCCGCTATATTGAAAACATCTCTTCTGGTGACGTTCTGGTACCTTTAATCGCACTTCTTAACCTCAAAAACCTATGTCGACATGCCAGAACTTTAAAATTCAGAGCATTCTGAACAAAGGTAAAGGGCCGAGATGAACAACTTCAAGTGGGGTTCAATTTTCCGTTTAATACAAGTTTGTAGTAATGGAGGATTTTTGGACGCAGGTTTAACCAATGTTATAGCCATTTTGAGAGTTCATACAAGTACACTACTGCTATAGCTTTTCGGGACATACTTTGTATCTCCGTTTTCGAACGGTATATAGCCGTTTCAGAGCTACAGAAAAATGCCTAAAGGGGTTAGTTAATTCGTTGTATATTTTCCGACTTGCAGACGAATTTTCCCTACAATACAGGGAATGCTTTAGGTAACAGTTATTACTCCTGCTGCTGTATGGCTATATACACAAATGAATTTTTAATGGTTTCAATGCATTATGCTTACGTCGTTTTTGTCCGCATATTAAACAATGTTTCGCGTTCGGTCATTGATTAATGTATTCTTTAGTCGAAAACCCCTGAACCCGTAACAAAGAAAGACCTATGTATATATTGAACTTGTACGCTTTATTCTAAAATACACAATGGCCTTTCGAATTTATCTTGTATACCAGAATTACATCTTCGTCAATTATTGAGATACAAAGGGACGTGTACTAATTATTTTAAAAAAAAAACATGTAACGCAGAATCCATACTATTGGTTCCTTATCGTGTACGATTTATCGGAAAATTCCACACAAAAGAAACAGGCAATGTTCCAGATAATGATTCAAATGTTTTTCAACCAAAATCTAATCGCATAAATGATATAGATAAAATTCATTTATTTCTCCTGTAAAAGTGGAAAATGTACTTATTTGGTTTATTTTAAAAGGGTCAGTGTACAAGCTATTTCTTCTATACTATTTAACATTCAGCGCTTAATGGACTTTTAATGCTTTTCACTATATTTTACACTTACTAAACATGATACGAAATACCAAACACCCTGCAATGTGGCGAGAATAATCAATTGCCGCAAGGATATACGCAATACATGCCATAGCAACTGCATTGTCATTAATCAAAGCAATTGATAATATAATGTGTCTGCATTATCAGTACTTTATTACACAAAATCACCCAAATGTGGTATGCCGTCGATATTAATCAAACATTTGCCGTAATTAGGATGTCGCCCTAATCCTTGCCTTTTGTACGTTAAGAACGGTTGGAAGTTTGATCCATAAATAAGCATTGGAGCAAAAACATTTTATAAAAATCACTTTCATGATGGCATACGTGCTTTATCTCCTCTGCATTAACCACACTTGCATTTTACCAAAATGCGAAATTAAACATACAGCGCAACCTCTCCGTATTTTATATATCCTTTTCCGCACTTTTACAGTCATATCTCCCTTAAATTTTTAGCTAGTCAAACTCTCTTTAATTGCAGGAAGCTGAAAGCGCTATTGCTGCAATGAATGGACAATGGTTGGGTAGCCGCAGCATCCGTACAAACTGGGCAACAAGGAAACCCCCAGCGCCAAAAAATGAAGGTAATCACCACTTTTTTTATGTTTTACATAAGCGCACCTCTGTGTACAATTTTTCCACACGAAAAACGTATAGACAATTACAGTAGAGTAATGCAATGTTTTTCGTTTCCTTAATTTTCAGTTTTCATGCGTGAAACTAGAATTTATATAACTGTATTCTTAGAGCCAATTGTTGTCAACCAGATTTCGAAAATTTGGTTGTTTTCAAAAATTTAGACGAATTAACTTTAGTCACTATATTCTTAAATTGAACGGTTTTTAAGATATTTAAGTTGTTTTCATAGTGATTTTTTTATTTTTTGGAAAAAAATTTGTTTCTGTAAAATAAATCAAATCAGACTGGTGCAAAGAAACTAAAATTTCTGCACAAATTTCCATTTCGTTCAGCATGTCCATCCTGAGGGCAAATTCAAAAATCTACTTGTTTTGCTGAAAATAAAAATATTTCAAAAGCTGTTCAGTTTTATGCTCAAAAATTCAGCGGAGATGGATACAAACCATCTGAACCTTCCACTTAAAATACTGAAGTATGGTCAGTCCGCGGTATAACTGAACTCTCCAGTAACTTTTATGCAGGAATTATTAGAAATCTATTCGCATTATATAATAATATTGCTCTTCTCGTTTCTGGACATCCTGAACAGAATGTTCTCTCTATTAAGTTTGAAAGTTAGGTTAAATTACCTGAAGGTCTTCTACTTCTGCCATCTAACTACAATACAGAAGCAAGAAAACGATCGCGCATCGCGGCACTAACGATGTTGCAGCAAGAATATAACATTTCATGATACATTTTCAAGCGTGCAATTTCAATATTAGAATTGCAGATATTACTTATAGTAGGGGAGCTAGCACGAAATCCACTGAACGAGAATGATCAAAATTTTAAACGATGAAGTTCCATTTTGCCCTATCAGAGTATGCTAAGATCGATCGTCTGCCGCCTCAGGTCATATGACTTAAGGCGCTGCGGGTACTTCTTGCGGTACCAATTCTTTTTCGAGAAAATAAGTTATACACCAAATGAAAACGTTGATCATAGCTCTAAAAAAATATTTAAAAAAATCGCGCGCATTTGATAACTCCGTAAAAAAACAATTCTTAGTCGGTTTTTCACGAACTTTCTACGGATATAACTAGGTTAAGGTTGGACGAATAAAGCTGATTTTTTTTACAGAATGATGATAGGTACTACCATTGTATTTCGTTTATAAATACAATGGTACTACTAATGACTTAACGGTGTTTCGTTTTTAAATTTTTTCTCTAATTATAAGATTATCTTATTATCTTAACATTATAAGATATCTTATAATTAGAGAAAAAATTTAAAAAAGAAACACTCTCATAGTCATTGGCTGTACCTATCATTAGTCTGTAAAAAACAAGTTGTAAATCAGCATATGCATGATTAAAGCGCATTTTTGGTAATGCAGGTCAGTATTTTATTAGCGAAGTTTAAAAATTATCGATCTCACGAGTAATTTTGGCTGCGTTAAATAATTAATTTTATTTAATTTCAATTGACGGTACGTCTTCATTTTGTAAAACAAATCACAAAGTAAATAATAAGTTTTTATACTGGTAGCGCTATCTAACGGTAAAATTATAGCACCTCCGAAACCCATATCAAAATTATTTTCTTCAATTATCGATCTCACAAGTAATCTAACTCAAAATAGACTAGTGCCTGCACATCTACACTATAGCAGAAAGCTTTTTGTGAAAATTTGAATTCTCTAGCTATTGTAGTTGTGGAGATCTCACGCGGACAGCCGGCCTGCCAGCAATAACGAATATAATAGCGTATTTTTTTCAAAAATGCGCTAAAAATCAGCTTCATTCATCCAACGGTAACCTAGATCCGTAGAAAGTTCGTGAAAAACCGACTAAGAATTGTTTTTTTACGGAGTTATCAAATGTTCGCGATTTTTTTCAATATTTTTTTAAAAGCTATCATCAACGTATTCATTAGGTGTATAACTTATTTTCTCGAAAAACAACCTTTTAGAATTGGTACCACAAGAAGTACCCGCAGCGCCTTAAGTCATATGACCTGAGGCGGCAGACGATCGATTTTAGCATACTCTGATAGGGCAAAATGGAACTCCATCGGTTAAAATTTTGATCATTCTCGTTCAGTGGATTTCGTGCTAGCTCCCCTACTATTATACCTTCCGCTTCGTCGTACGTACCTGATAATAAGGGTTGCAACAATATGCCTTTGCAGGTTACCCCAAATTTGCGACTTTTAACGGTATAATGTGGTCATGGTTACAGTGCCGATTGTGACATTTGTGCGAAGCCGAGAGGTTGACCATTCAGAAAAATGTTGTACACAATTTACAAAAATTACATAAATTACTAATGATTTACTGAATTTACGAATAATTTACTAAATTTACCAATATTTTACTGAATTTACCAATAATTTACTGAATTTACCAATAATTTACTAAATTTAAGAAAGAAAAAAATTGTTTTCAAAATAGTCGAGTCAATGAGCCTAAAAATTGACGAAACTTCTTAATTCTCAGCAATGGCTCCGATTTTTTTAATATTATTTAAATTCAGAAACATTCTAATTTAAGGAAAAAAATGTTTATATTGTTTAAAGAATACCTAACAGAATTTCCATGAAAAAAAAATGTATTTAAGATCCTTGTTTGCGATATTTATGAACGTGCCAATTGTTTTAAAGAAAATTTGGCATCAACAATATGTTTAAAAATTACTTATATTGTTTAAACACTAATAACAACATTTACCGAAATAATTGATTTTTTAAACTTTGTTCGCAATATTTATAATTATAACAAAGTGAAGTGTTTTTAAAGAATCGTAGATACGTCGGTAATGCCTCGATTTCACTTCCTTTAACAGGAGTAAGCAGCAAATACAGCAATGAAAAAATAATTCACTAATACCTCCCTAAAAATTAGGGTGGAAAAAAGAAAATTATTTAATACCTATACAAATGATGCAGCAATCAGCAGCACCGCAAATACATAATACAAGTAAATAATATACATCAACAACAAATTATTATATGTACTATTACTTTGTGTCCTAGATGTTGCCATTATCGTTTAAACAATATAAATAATTATTAACTACAACTTCGGGGTGACGTGAACCCACTCTTCAGACTCTAGTGTCTGGCTCGATATCTTTTTTTAAAAAAACGTAAATTTCCCTCTTAAAAACAGCCAGGTAAAAACAAGATTTTGCCCTCTGGAATACAGATCTTCTTCAAAATGAATGTTGAAATACAGAGTTACATATAAGTATGTAAACAAAAATTTGGGTGGTAGAGGGGATCAAAACAAGCACTTTTTTCAAATAAACCGAAGGTCTAACGTGTTTCGTTTGGGAGTCACCTCCACAAAAGTGGTGAAATTTGCACTTCTTCTTTAATTTTTTATCAGCAACCATAAGAGTTAGAAAGACTGGTGGCACGTCTTTGAATAGATTTTCGGCTATGCCCTTTCCGATTTTGCAAAAAAAATTTTCAAAATTCCTGCCACGAAAGGGCGCACCCCTAAATGGGGGTTGGAAAAAAATTCGGATTTCGAGAAAATTCGGTATCTGGGGGTTTTCTTTCTTTATTTATTTATTTAATTCCATTACGATTACATTAAGTAATATTGGAATGATCATACAATTAAGTGTAAAAAGACAGGGTGACAGATCAGTACAGTAACAGTAACAAACATTAAAAATAAAATTATCACAGTTTGTGATCCAAATACTCTCTACTACTGTAGTAGGGGTGATCGACGAACAGGTTATGGGTCATTTTCTTGAACTCCCTCGAGGACGCGCAATTGCGGATATATGGTGGAAGATGGTTGAAAAGTTTTGTAGCCATATATCTTGATGAACGTTCATAAAGTGAAGTGGCATGGTGAGGGACACAGGGATTGCAATAGTGGCGTGTTAGCATTCTACGATTGTCATCTTTGTTGGCAGTGAATTGTAATTTATTTTCATATACATATACAACGCACTTGTGTATGTATAGTGAATAAATCGTTAATGCCTTTGAACATGAATATCACGAATCTGAAATTAGTTTTTGAAAATTCGAAAAGAAATCCACTGCTATTCTTGGTCGGACAACGAAAATGAGAGAATTCCACGAAATTCGTTGCGTACATACTTGATGAGTTAAGGAATAAAATTTTGGAACAGTTTTTTAAAATCACTTTGGGTCACAAAGTGTCCCTCACCTACTAGTGAGTGATCTAATTTCACGTAGTGAATTGAAAATGTCGCAAATAGCAAAGAATAACGATTTTGGCGATATTCATATTCAAAAACCTCCAGGTACCAAATTTCGTCGAAATCCGAATTTTTTGAACCCCCATTTAGGGTGCGCTCTTTCGTAGTAGGAATTTTGGAACAATTTTTGCAAAATCGCAAAGGGTATATGTAGCCTCCAGGAGGGTTGGTCGTTTGGGGTAAATAAAACAGAGATATAGATAAAACTTTACTCCCTATCGCAATACACACACTAAATAAATAATCGTAATTTCAACGTAATGAAAATTGTGCAGTTGGCGGACGGTTGATTAACTAACAAAAAATAAATGCGGTAATTCAAGAACATATGGAATCTGATAGGACTTACGGTTATGTCCTTTGGGAAATCTTCTTTTGGTAAATGATAAAGCGGCAGTTTTGGAACCGGAAGCAGACACCTTGAGATTGCGGGGATAATCTTGCCACCCTCGCGATCTTGGAAACAGACAAGTTGGTGTTGCGGGGATACTCTTGACACCCTCGCGATCTTGGAAACAGACAAGTTGGTGTTGCGGGGATACTCTTGACACCCTCGCAATGTTAGAAGCAGACGAGTTAGGGTTGCAGGGATACTCTTGGCACCCTCGCGAACGGAAAAACACGCGATAATTTTCCTTTTCTTTCTTCTCTGGCCGGCCAGGCGGTAAACATGCAAAAGGCGTTTTGTTGCAGCGAGAACCAGTTGAAGAGAGAGACGACGCAATCCAATTCGGACGTTGTCAATTTTCGTCAAGGGAACGTTGTCCCGAAACTTTTGTTTGTTACCAAAAAATAACTAAAGTTACAGACATTACTAAAATTACCAATGAATTACCAAATTACAAAAAATTACTGAAAATACAAAAAAATTACTGTTGGCTGTACACCAAAATTGCCAAGTGGTCAACCTCTCGTGCGAAGCTTAGTTTAGAAGAGCTTTTTGGGGAAGCAATACTTTTTCTTCTTGCAATGCTGAAATATTTGTATTTATATATGTGTAAGGGTGGTTCGTCGATTTAGGTACCTTTCTTTATCGCGTTGTTCAAATTGAATGATTTCTTCAAAAGTTGTGTTTGCCAGAAATAGATTTTGTGCTGTAGCGACTGACGAGCGACTACCAGCCGTAGCAACATGTTGCAAGTTGCTGCTTCCTTGCAATTAAGTGAAAAGTTGCAGCTGGTCAACTCGTAAGAAACATAAAAATGTATGAAAAGCTAAAAAGAAAATAGCGTGGCCCTTGTATTCATAACAGAAATGCAAACCATATTTCATCATAAGGCACAAGAAATTAATATTTAGGATCGTGTAGCAATAATTTGTATGACTGCGTCATTATGAGTTTAAAATGAGTGGACTGTGGGAAGAGGCGTTAGGGGTCAAACAAACTGTACACAAAGTCGCTCATTTAATTTCATTTAGCAGCGTAATTTTACATTAAAACCAAATGCCTTGTCATTTTCATAGCAATTAGTTATTTACCTTTCTCTTTTCTTAAAATGCCCAGCTTTTAAATACTTCCTATATTGTTTACGTTTGAACCTACATTAATATTGTTAAAAAAATCTCTTAAATTATAAATCATATTCGCCCGAAAAATGTCGTGTACATTTTTGCCATATTCGAAAGGAAACTTGCCAACGGCATTTGGGTGCTGTAAATTGTACAATAATGAAATTTCACTTCAGATCGGCTGGTGTTGAAATACAAAACGTACATTTGATTGTTTTAGTCAATTTTCAGACCAACAACTTGTTCTGACAATATCTCAGCAACCATGATCACGTTCAGAGATGAATTCAAAAAGGAATTAATTCCGTTTCGTGAATCAATCCTATTAGGTTAGTCAATATTTCGAAAAATTTGAGGAGCATTATTTCACATTAGTTTTTGGCTACCAGTCTTTTCCGCCTGTTTTCACCCCACTGAATCCGAAAATGCCTGTTTAGCCCAGTCAATTTAGACCAAAAATGGGCAATCAGAGGAACTAAAAATACTAGTTCCAATTTTTTCAGAAATATGTAGGGAGAGGTTCCCTGAACAAGAAAAAATAAAGTCTCTCCAAATTCCGGTGCCGCTGGGGGAAGGGGGGGGGGGGGCTTGAAACGACCCATTTTTCAGTTTTTCGCTTTTAACTCAAAAATGGTGAATTACAGTGAAAAAGTTCTTCAGTACAAAATGAAAGCTTATTAAATTTGCTACAAGTTTGGTTATATACATCTTTACAAAAACTTAACCGTTTTCTGGTATTAATGTCCTCGTACCCATCGAATACAACTGCACAATTGGAAGAATAGTGATTTATTATACTGCTCACAGATGAAAGAGAAAGTGGTCTCAACATTTCACTTGACTCTGTGAAGGAGAAACAGTGTTAATGGTTTGGAGGTTCACTGCATCCATGCACACAGGGAAAGCCTCATAGAGAGCAGATTTCTTCGTTTTCCTGAAGCATCCTTCGTGGAATAGAGTCATGGGGTGTGGAGATAACTCGTACTTCAACAGGTTCGGACTATAGGGATGTTAATGCTGTACAGGTTTTATTGTGACGATTTTCCCCTAAAATGACCGGGGGAGGATTTAGAAGCCAAAAATATACGAAAAACGTGAGTGAAAAATATTTTGTTTAGAAATTACCACCTTTCCGGAGCCGGTAGCACGAAAACGGTTCAATTTTTCGTAAAGATGTATATAACCAAACTTATAGCAATGAAAAATGGGTCGTTTAAAGCCCCCTCCTTCCCCCAGCGGCAACGGAATTTGGAGGGACTTTATTTTTTCTTGTTCAGGGAACCTCTCCCTACACATTTCTGAAATAATTGGAACTAGTATTTTTAGTTCCTCTGATTTTCCTATTTTGACTGGACTAGTTGCCAAAGCGATATATCAACCGGTGGCGATTTTTTTTTAAATTGGGCATCATTAAGCACGGATAATCCAAGAATCATCACTACTTTTTAAATACCCAAACAATTGCATGAGTTACCACTTGTTCCTTATATGCCAAAGCAGAAACGCACTTTAATGAGGCAGTAGATGATGAATCCTGGTATAATCCTTTTCACTACGAGGAAAGGTCAAAAGCAGTTCTGTATTCCAGGGTGGAGGACCTAAGATGCTTCATCCTCCCTTGTTCCAGATAGCTGTCCCTAAGGAGCCGCACAGTGACAGGCCACATGCTCGGTAGTTTCATCGGTCTTCCCACAGAACGTGCACGTGGGCTGTCCTACAAGTCCAATGTTGTGCAGGGATAGTTGACCATCCCGTGTCCCGTAAGGACACCGGTGATCTTCTTATTCTGGCCCTGTTAAAATTTACTGTCACCCAGTCTTTAATCCTGCCCGCTAGCCAATTTATTTTTATTTATTTATTGTCTTTATTTTATAGTGGGGGGACTGTTAGCTAATTAGCTACTCTGGCTACTCAACCCACTATTCTATACATGTGTAGTTACCGTTAGCCAAAGCAACATTGTTTCATCGACGTCAGCTGCTGGATCCGCCGCAGAATTATCAGAAAAAAAAGGTGCTAAAATATAGTAATCTACTAGACCGTTTTATTTTCTACCCTTTCGGTATTGAAACACTTGGCGCTGCAAAAAAATAGCTTCAGAAATGTATAAAAAAAATTTTGAAAAAACTCAACGTTGCTTTGAATTTTTAAAACAAAGATTTAGTTTAGTTGTTCAGCAGGGAAATGCCGCTTATATTTTAGGCACCTTACCGCCACAGACAGCATTTGATGAACTTTGTTATATTTTAAGTGTACGGTAAATCTTTTTCATGTTTTTAATTAAATAAATAATAAAAAAATTACAAACAGCCACGCCTTACCTGGGATTCGAACTCAGGACCCTTGTATCCAAAACTCATCTGAGCTAAGCAGGTCAGCAATAGAGAGAGAAATTCCTAGGGTACTCTCAGGCCCTTTCGTTTCCCCCTATTCCGCAGTGGACTGGAACACAAATCAAGCTTACCTATTAGACTCACCTAATCTATCTAGAGTTCGGCTGCTCCCTGTCCGAGAAAGTGACATAACTTTTCGGTGTTAGTAAGATCACATTCCTTTTAGCTAGGAGGGGATGGAATCCAAGGAGCCCGTCTAGTACCCGATACCACAGCAGTGGAGACAACACTCCCACCTGGCGACATCCTCTAGGATCCGATCAGCTCATCTCCATCGTCCCGATTGATGATGCTTCCGAGTATGGCGCGGATCCATCTTATGATTGCCCCATTAACGCCAAAACCTTCAGCAGTGTCTCACTAATTGAATCGACGAGGTGTTGTTAAACGCACCCTCGATAATTAAATATGGCGTACTTCCCCCAATACGGTTTCATTTTCGATTTATTTTTCCCTTAGATCCGGCACTATTTTTATTCTGCTGGTTCACAAGCTTTTTTTTTTCGAATTGAGTTTATTCCGACCCCTGAACTTTTGCTGAAAGACTGTTTCTATTTCTGTACGCCAATCTCCCGTTTCGTTACGCGCAATTAGCCCACGTCCCACTTCCCTATTAATTCCACAACCACTCCCACTTAAATCGTAATTTTTTGTTATTTGCTACATTTTCATTTAACTGCATGCGAAATTAGATCACTCGCTAGTAGGCGGGGGAAACCTTTTGACCCAAAGACCCAATCTTCAAATGAGTGTAACTTTTGTTTGAAAAGTGATTTTAAAAAACTGTTCGATAATTTTCAAATATATACACAACGAATTTCGTGGAATTTTCTCCATTTTCGTTGTCCGACCACGAATTGCAGTGGAATTTTCTTTTTCAAATATTCAAAAACTAATTTCAGTTTCGTGATTTTCATGTTTAAAAACCCCCAGATACCAATTTCGTTGAAATCAGAATTTTTTGCACCCCCATTTAGGGGCACAGCTCATCAATGCAATCATTCGAATTGGTCGGTTGCTCTGTCGTTTTTAATGTCCTTGGAGTTTTTAAATGCTCTTAAGGGTCTTCAGAAGCCTATCATGCAAAAATAGTTGATACTGATAAATTGCTCTGTGATATTCCGCTATCTTGATCTATTTATAAAATGCACTGAAATGAACAAACGATCGGGTGTCACCTTGTTTGAAATGTTCCAGAATCAAATTATACGCGAAAAATCGGTTTCATTTGTCCTTAAAGCGCATTTTTGAAAATATTATAATATAGGATAATAAAAAGGCCTAAGCAAGTATCAAAAGGGATAGGTAATGCTGTTAGCACCATTTCTTCATGATATTTTAGGTTCTGTATAGATCTTTCAAGATCGAAGTAGGAGGAATTTAATTTCTGACGTCACTGGAAATGATCTGGTCTTCTGTTCGAATGCATTCTTCCACTTGCTGATTACGATTTTATCTTATCGTATGGGTGGCACTAGCTATAGGTACAGACGTACCCAGGTCGCATCTACAGCCGTCTGTGTGAACTAACGACAGTCGTAGTATGACAGCCAGTACCGCCAGCTTTACATGCCCTTCGAAGCATGGTAGTCAGGACATGTTCTACGCCACTAAAAACTGGCAAGTTGTGGGATTCGAACTCGCAATCTGTGAGGTTAGAGTCCGAGTCTTAAACCGCTACGCCAAATTAACTACGTGATTACGATGATAGTGCCTATGCATCAGATAAACCCATAATACTATATAGATAGTTTATTCAGATGGTTGCACCATACCATCGACAACGCGTTGTTGCTTTCTGGATAGTCACAACGAATGGTGGTCGAATACGATGACAGCCAGAATATGAATAACGCAACATGGTGTTTGTGAGTTAGCCACAACTCGTTCATGAAGTTTCATTGGATATTACAACGCGTTATGGACTTTTTTTCTCTTACCAAGCGTTTTCATTCTATGATGACGCAAAGCTCCTAAAAATTAATGAAGAACGTGTATAACAGCTAGACACCTCCGTGTTACATAATATAATAGCGCGCAAGTGTTCGAGTGTGATTTGAGTCTTAAATACGGTATAATAAGAGGTCTAAGAGGAAAACATCCTGAAACTATGAATCGCCATCCTTCCAGGCAAATCTGGAAAATATGTATACGAAGGCGTCTGGCTACTACAATTCCTTGCGCTTAAAACGGTCGCCAGTTGATTAAATTTGATGGGTCGTGAAACGTTAGATGTGCATGCATAATATATTTACATATGAAAATACAGAAATTGAAAAATATTGAAAGCTTTTGAAGACTACTGCAACACCATAAAGAGCACTAGTACACTTAAGATTTATGTTTTGTCAAAGGCAGCAAATGTAAGTGGAAATTTCCACGCATTTTATACAGATGTAAAAGGACTACTGTAGTTGTAAATTGTGAATTCAAAGGCAAGAAAGAGATGTTGCGTGTCGAAGTCGGTTTACTGTAGTCTAACAATAAAAAAGGGGTAATTGCATTATTAACAAAGTCAAGCTGGCTACAGTTATTTAGATCAACTACAGAATGGCAATTGAATGAAATTAAAGGGTAGGTGTTGATTGAATCTACAGCCAATTTTAGTTAAATCGTTTTGAATCGTATTTATCCACTTTTTAATGGTCTTTTTAATTAGGGCGAAATAATAGTTCACCTATTTTCAGGAGAAATAATAGCCGTGTAATCTAATATGTACGGAATACCTACTGAAAAGGTGCTCAGATATTGATTCTCAATCTGAAAATGCCAAAACCAGTTTTTTACATGGTACCCACATTATTTGCTTCATTAGTGCATTTCTATTTCTAATTAGACTAGAATTGTTTGATAAGCACGAACAATTGAAATTTGATTGCAGGAGATTGATTCTGGCGTGCAAAATTAATGCTTCGCTGTTTTGGTGACCATTTGAATGGATTTGTCCATATTCAATTAATTAAGTAAATAATTAATTAAAGAAATGTTAATTGCCTTAAAGTGTAACTAATTCAAAATATCCGGTGGTAACTGCGATTTTTATTCAATGACGCACCAACACCAAATGAAGATACTTCTGAACTTCATTT